TCTGGGCAAAGATTTTTCTGGGATGCATCCATCACAGAAAATCCACCAATTCTCTAGATTACGTGAATAATGAACAACTCTATTTTATGTATTGTTTGAGTCAGAGTACAAAGGTAGATCTTCCACACATCCTCTTCATGCATCTGTGGAATCATATCAATGCATCAAGAGAATATGTAAAGGATAAGGGACGGAAGATCAGGACATGGATTCCCTTTGGAAGGTTGATTTCAGACCTTTTGACAGAGAATGGTATAGTAATTGCTCTGTATGAAGATGGCGTTAAAGATGAGCTTGAATCTATTATTGGAAAACCACTGAATGCAAAGAGTCTTCAGAGGCTAAAGATTGTAGATGAACTCACAACTGCACCTAAGAAGCTAAATATTTTTGAAGTTAGTCAGAAGAGGATTCCAGTTGAAGATTTTCCACTTTTTGGTGCTGAAGAACCAAGGGATATCATTGTTAGGTATATTGATGCATGCAAAGCAGATGGAACGCCTATTCCTGCAGATATTCTGATTCGTGCCAGGGAACCAATGCCAGATGTATATAATGAGAACATGAGAAAGAGAAATCAATCAGAGGCAGAAGAAGCTGCTGCTCAGAAGAAACCAAAAGTTGCTGATAAGCCACAAAAGCAGATCAAGAGAAAAGCTTCTGGAGAAGTTCCCTCTGTTCCCACCAAGCGTATAAAGACCAAAGGTACTAAATCATCTGTATCTTCTTTCTCTAAAATTGTTATAAATGAATCAACATTTAGTTATATTCCTAAATCTCCTCCCACTCAAAAACAATCTATTCCTGCTCCATCTCAAAAATCTGAACCATCAAAAATTCCTTCCCCACCAAAATCATCTGATCCCATTTAGTTTTATTACAAGTATTTTCCTAACTAAACTAAAATCATTACTCATCCTAATTAATGCTTCTAAATCTTTTTCTTAATTAAATAATAGAGATATTGAGTTCTTGAGGTCTCGCACTTCTTGGATTATTGAGTAACCGTTCTTGGGGCGCACGCCTTGGGTTGTGGGTTGCTCGATCTTTCGTTCCTAAAACACTTGCGCTAATTACTTGGACATAGTCGTCTATTCTCCAATAAAGGCCTCTTTATAATTAATTGAATGAAGAAGGTTCGTTGGAATCTAGCCTTCAAATAATACCCCGATTAATTGGTTACGAGACTAACGCCTTGTTTATCAAATAGTCGTCATTCTCCCTTAAAATATTCAACCAATCTAACTTCGTTTTCTCGCCCCCGTGCGATTGAAACCCTAAACCTACACAAATCAAACTCTTTTCTCAATCTAAAACCCTAATACGCGCTAATCAAATGCAAAACCTTTTCTTAATCAAATTACGAGAGAAATGAGTTCTTAGAGTCCATCACTCTTTGGATTCTTGAGTAACCACTCTTGGGGCACACGCCTTGGATTGTGGGTCGCTCGATCTTTTGTTCATAAAATAATTGCCTTAATTATTGGGACAAAGAAATGTCATTGGAGTCTAGCATTCCATATGGTACTTTCATTGACCGTTCAAATACAATTTTGTAAGTTAATGGAATGAAAAAGATATCGTTGAAATCAAGCATTCCAATGATATCCCGATTAATTGGTTGCGAGGATGACGTCTCGTTTATCGAGCAGTCGTCATTCTCCCTAAATACCTAACAAACCTCATCTTCCTCGCCTCCGCGCGAGTAAAACCCCTAAATAATTGATTCAAATCTATTCTCTTTTTTGAGCCAAAACATCCAACACGACAAATTCTCTTTTCTCGCCCCCGTGCGATTGAAACTTCTCAAATACTAATTCCTCACCCCCGTGCAATCCATAACTCAAACAACTTTTCCAAGAGAACATTGTTTAGTCCCTTCTTCCGCGCATACAAACTCGTGCTTCAGCCTCCCCTAGCGAGCAGATAAACCAGCGTTTAGCAGTTAGAATGCGACCTAAACACTCGTTCATTTATAAACCATCCGTAGTAGTCCGAACTACGGACGCTCTGATTTCTCATTTGTTAATGAGAATACGTAGGCATAGGATTGCGAGATCCTAGTGAGCTACGTTTTCCTTTTCTACCTTCCCTCCATTTTTCGTTTACCCAAAACCTTCAACTGTAGTCCAACGAACTACGATGCTCTGACTTTCCCATTGCACGAGAGAGTACTTAGGCACAAGGGCCCCAATCCTTGGCGAGTACCCTATCTAAAAACCACCCATTTTCCTTATAAGCAAATCTTTAGATGAAAACAAATAACCTAGCTTGTTTTTCTCTCGAATCGAATAAAGAGGTTCCCGTTGAGTACAACAGACGTAGAGGGTGCTAATACCTTCCCTTTGCCTAATCAACTCCCGAACCTAGAATTTGGTTGTGACGACCATGTTCTTATCTCTTTAAAGGTTTTATCGATATTTTCCTATTCCTTCCTTGAAATGAATAAAGTTCGGTGGCGACTCTGTTTGAACGTTTTTTCCGCGTCCATCGCGAGTATCGTATTTTTCGAGATACGACACCACTTTCTTTTATGCTAGATGATCCACCCATGAATATCTTCCATTTAGTCAAGACATGTGATTCTTCAATGATGGTTTCCGCTATGAAATATGCAAATTTTTGAGCTTTAAGGGTTTTTCTTGGCCCATATGAATTGTTGAACTATGAAAGGTCCACAACCCACTTTATTATTTTTCTTGCTATGTCAAGTTTGAAGAGAATGTGTTTGATGGGATAATCCTTTCTTACCACCACAAGATGGACGAGAAAATAATGCCTTAATTTTTTAGCTATTGTTACGAGTGTTAAGCCAAATTTTTTCTACTTTTTGATAACATAACTATGTCCTTTAGGATAACTTTTTTTTGATGAATTAAACTTGGCCTTGCGATAAAATATTTTTCCATACTTCTAACTATATCTTATTTAGTCTTACCGCACATTATTTATATATAGTCATTTTTATCCGATGACTACAAAAATAAAATCTATTTATTTACCAAGACAAAATGGAATTAAACAAATTTTAGATAGCACATATATTAGATTTTTTTGGGCATTTAAAATTTGGGCCTTAGTCGAACAAGAACCCAAACCATGTTGTCAATTTAACAAACCTCAACAAAACGATGTCGTTGGAATCTCCAATTTCATCCTTACCTAAAAACCTAACTATAAAAATACTGAAACCCTAACATTTATCGCTCTCTCAAAACTTGTTCTCGATTGCTCAGTCTCTCTCTGCGGCTGAGGATTTCGAACGAGTGACATACTTCAATTCCGTTTCTGCTAAGGTAACATCCTTCATCTGTTGTCTCGATTCGATCTATGCTCTAAGATTCTTAGTTGCTGTCTTATACTATGATTCTGTTAGATGATTTTGTTTGGTTGTTCTATTTTATTTTATGCTTTAATCAGTTGCAAACTTTCTTGTGTATTTTATTTTGATCTGGTCTTACTCATCTTGCATAAGTCATGATATGAGTCCTGTTTATGATTTTTCGTAATTGGATCCAGTTGATGTGTTTTAATCTCTTAAAAGTTGTAGATTGAATGTTGATTCTTATGTATTTATTAGTTTCTCTATTTTATTGATAATTGGGGTTTTCTGGTAATTGAATTTGATCTGTTGTTCTGCTAAGGATTTTGGTTCATCTGTTTAAATAGATCTTATTTGGTTAAGCTGCTGTTCATCTGATTTTGAGCTTGTTGCTGATCACTGTTCATCTGATTTTGATAGTGATCTAGCTTGTTGTTTTCCTGTGTTTAATTATCATTGCTTTGTTGAATAGATCTTATTTTGTTTTTGCTGTTCAGTTTTTATTATTTTAAACTTGTTATCATTTGATTTAGCTTGTTGTTTTTCTGGAGCAGTTAACTGTTCATCTGATTTTGAACTTGATTTAGCTTGTTGTCTTTTCTGGATCTAACTATTATTGTTATTTTGTTGTTAAAATAAATTATGGTTGAATTATTAGTGATGACTTCTGAAATATTTTTTTATGCTGTTCTGTTATTATTATTTTATATTAGATCTGACATGTGAAGCTTTTGTGAATTGCAGTTAAGACATCATGGGTAAGGAAAAGGTTCACATTAACATTGTTGTCATTGGACATGTCGACTCTGGAAAATCAACCACAACTGGTCACTTGATCTACAAGCTTGGTGGTATTGACAAGCGTGTGATCGAGAGGTTTGAGAAGGAAGCTGCTGAAATGAACAAGCGTTCATTCAAGTATGCCTGGGTGCTCGACAAGCTTAAGGCTGAGCGTGAAAGAGGAATTACCATCGATATTGCCTTGTGGAAATTTGAAACCACCAAGTACTACTGCACAGTCATTGATGCCCCCGGACATCGTGACTTTATCAAGAATATGATTACCGGAACCTCCCAGGCTGATTGTGCTGTCCTTATTATCGATTCCACCACTGGTGGTTTTGAAGCCGGTATCTCTAAGGATGGACAGACCCGTGAACATGCTCTTCTTGCTTTTACTCTTGGAGTGAAGCAGATGATCTGTTGTTGTAACAAGGTAAATTTGTAGGGATTCTGGTTTTATGCATGCATGTTAACACCATTTGTTGATTTGTGTTTGAAGATTCTGACTGGTATCAATCTTTTGTTTCAGATGGATGCTACCACCCCAAAGTACTCCAAGGGAAGGTATGAGGAAATCGTGAAGGAAGTTTCTTCCTACTTGAAGAAGGTTGGTTACAACCCAGACAAAATTCCATTTGTTCCCATCTCTGGTTTTGAGGGAGACAACATGATTGAGAGGTCCACCAACCTTGACTGGTACAAGGGACCAACTCTCCTTGATGCTCTTGACAACATCAACGAGCCCAAGAGACCCTCTGACAAGCCCCTAAGGCTTCCATTGCAAGATGTTTACAAGATTGGTGGTATTGGAACTGTGCCAGTGGGACGTGTTGAAACTGGTGTTGTGAAGCCCGGTATGCTTGTTACTTTTGCTCCTACTGGTTTGACAACTGAGGTTAAGTCCGTTGAGATGCACCACGAGGCTCTCACTGAGGCTCTACCAGGAGACAATGTCGGATTCAATGTTAAGAATGTTGCAGTCAAGGATCTCAAGCGTGGTTTTGTTGCATCCAACTCCAAGGATGACCCTGCCAAGGAAGCTGCCAACTTCACATCCCAAGTCATCATCATGAACCATCCTGGACAGATTGGAAACGGTTACGCACCAGTGCTCGACTGCCACACCTCTCACATTGCTGTGAAGTTTGCTGAACTTATCACCAAGATTGACAGGCGATCTGGTAAGGAAATTGAGAAGGAGCCCAAGTTTTTGAAGAATGGTGATGCAGGTATGGTTAAGATGGTTCCCACCAAGCCCATGGTGGTGGAAACTTTTGCTGAGTATCCTCCTCTTGGACGTTTTGCTGTGAGGGACATGAGACAAACTGTTGCTGTCGGAGTCATCAAGAGTGTGGAGAAGAAGGACCCAACTGGAGCCAAGGTCACCAAAGCTGCAGCCAAGAAGAAGTGATTTCACTCCATGGTTACTTTATAGTAGTTCATCTTTTCAGAGTTAATAGTCTGTCTTTCCAGTTTAATTTTGAAGTTTTTGCCTGTTTCATTAAACTAAACTTACAAAACTGGGTTCTTGATCGTCGGTGGTCAATTTTCTGTTTTGTTTGATTTTCCTGGTACTGTATTTTGGTGTTAAATTATGTTTCAGAAGTACATTTTGTTGCTGAGGGATGTTTAAATTGCATTAATTTAGACATTTTTGTCTTCCCTTTGTCATGTAATGTTATGATTTTTGTTCAAAATATTTATCTATGCCTGTGTTTTGACTGAGTTATTGAACGTGCATGATTAGGTGCCTGCAGGTTATAGAACAATTAGAAGTTGTCCATTAAAAATCTGCAGTTAATCCCTAAAACATAAAACTGTGACATTGTTTACAAAATCTTCTATAAAATGCTTAACATAACAGTCCCAGAAACCTAAATTTAGGTTTTTGTTGAAATTGAATAATATCCTCATTAATTTCTACCAAGCAAACATTATTGTTATGGTATACAAGGTAATCTAATATGCTTCAAACATTATTTCGTAACAATTTTTGTATATGCACCCACAGGTTTGGCAAGAGAAGTTCATTGTTGAATTGGCGATGACTTTAATGTAGGAATGTATTAATAATCTAATTTTTATTTTCAATAAATCTAAATCATTTAATGATATTTTGTTTATGTTATATGGTGTGTTTAATTCGATTTCTGTTGTATTGAGTAATTTTTTATTAATGAAATGCGAGTTTTTGTAAAAAAACAAATGTTGTATGGGTGAGGGATATAATAACGATTTATCATGTAACGAAAATTGATTCAAAATTTTTAAAAAATCCCCTAAAGATACAATGCAGAATATAATTAATATTTTAAAATAATAATAATTATAATAAAAATGTTCATAATTTATTATAATTATTTTTTTATAAAAATAATATATAATTAACTACTTCAACAATAAAAAACAAGTCTTATCCTATTAATTGAATTTGATTATATGAATTGAATTAGCCATAATGCTCTTTAATAGTTTTTCTGATAGATTTTTGGTCTATCTTTAATTGTTTCACTCATTTTCTTACTTAACCTCCAAAAAATCATAATCTGTATCTTCTCTTCGAGAGTGGATTGTCTCTAGTGTCATTTAAACTAGAGAGAGCAATGTGAATCTCCACCAATAAAACTCAATCTACCCTTAATTTTTATATTTTTTTAAATATTTTATTTCTCTATCTATTTTCAACGTGTTACTCATATTTCATGGGAGAAAAAATTGAGAAAAAAAAAGGGAGAGAATTTTCTATCATTCTCTCCACATGGCTCAACCTCTTAAATTTATTTTTCACCATTTTTTAATATATATATATATATATATATATATATATATATATATATATATATATATATATATATATATATATATATATATATATATATATATATATATATATATATATATATATATATATATATATATATATATATATATATATATATATATATATATATATATATATATATATATATATATATATATATATATATATATATATATATATATATATATATATATATATATATATATATATATATATATATATATATATATATATATATATATATATATATATATATATATATATATATATATATATATATATATATATATATATATATATATATATATATATATATATATATATATATATATATATATATATATATATATATATATATATATATATATATATATATATATATATATATATATATATATATATATATATATATATATATATATATATATATATATATATATATATATATATATATATATATATATATATATATATATATATATATATATATATATATATATATATATATATATATATATATATATATATATATATATAATCCCAACATTTTATAATATTATTATTTTTTATCTTATTTCGTCCAATTTTATCATATTTCCAACACAACATTTTAATATATAATACATTTACTTTAATTCTCGTGTTGATTTATAACTGCTCAACATTCTGATTAGTATAATATCACAAATCGTACCATTATTCGACACAATTTTCTCTTCAATTTAAATGATACTTTTGTATCACATAAAAATTTATAGATTCTCTATTTCAGGGGTATAACTAAAATTCAATGTCAATTCTGTTTCTCTACCATTTTGTATTACGGATCCAAGATATTTAAAACGCGTGACTTGTGAGATGATATGATATGGTCTCCAATTTTCACATTCATATTCGAAACACTTCTTATTTTGTTGAATTTACATTTCATATATTCCATCTTACTTTTACTTAGACGAAAGCCATGCGTTTCTAAGGCTCATGTCAAAGTTATAAATCACTGATTTAAATTCTCATTTGATTCTCCAAATAATACTATATCATCAGCAAGAAAAATACATCTCGGTACAATCCTCTTTATATGCTAGCATTACTACGCTTAAGCGATCTCAAGTTTGAAAAAGATAAAAAATTGTTTTAGACAGTCAACAACCAACGTAAAAGTTTGTCATTACTATGACATGCCTCACCCCCTAATTAGAAAATTGAAAAATGGCACAAAAGTCCGCCAAATCCATTTGATGGTGATTATTAAACAACTTAAAGGAAATTTTACCTTCCTCACAATTTTCCCTTAATTCAAGTATTTATCTCGAGTGTACTAAAACCTTTCAAAATACTCTTTGCAAATATAGTACACTTCAAAGACATAAAGTAAGTAAATCCTATTAGACTAAACATTCAATACACATAAGTATCTATTCTTGTATTAGAAATTACATCAAAATTGCCCTTTATTTATCAACTAACTACCTAAGAAGATAAGATACCACTATGTTATCCAAAACGTCCTCTACAGTTCTTTAATTTTACACTTACAAATTCCATTTATGATAATAAACATATTAATTTAAATGCTTAAATATGTCACTCATCCTTATAAGTTGGCGAGATTTTAGTTTTCGTCAATGTATCCTTTTTTTTTAATAAAAAAATAATCTTTGAATATTGAGATCTATTTCACTTTCGTCCTTGACGTCAACATTCTGTTCAAAAAGGCAACATGGCAAACAATGATAATAAGGCTTTATTTTCCCTGTTCCAATTGCTGAATCAGATTGTGACGTGACTTTATTGTTCCCTCCAAAAAATCCCTAAAAATTCTCAAATACTCTTTCACATATAGTCCATGTAATTAGCGTTAACAATTTTGAAATTCCAAGGGAGATGACAAAGGTAGACGAAGGGAGCATATAATTGATTTATACGACTGAGGTAGAAGAAGGGAGCATTTGGATGAGGTAGACGATAAGAGCACACGATTCATCCATTATCCACGTTCGACATTTGTCACTGTTGTAAGGTAAAGTTTGTTCCTTTCATCCTGTATTTGGCGCTTGTTCTTGAAAATTATAGGTGAAATTTCCAAGGATGATTTTTAGTATGATTTTTCATTACGAGGGTAGAGTTGTTAGAGTATGATAGCTAAGGCTCAAATAAACTCAAATCCACTCAACATGATCAAAAGTATAAAATCATGTCCCACAAAAAGTAAGGTAGACTTTCTGATCTCTACTTTTCACTACAATCATCATGGATCTTGAATTTACTTGGGTGTTGGAGTGCTAAACTTACAGGTCTACCCCGCGCCACTGTATTGAAGATATGAACCATCATTTTCAGATTCTTCACCATCTACTTCAACTACTTTTGGTTCTAGGACAGAACAATGTTGCCGTATTTATGATTCCTATGTTTTCCATGATTTCACGCTCATTATTCAATTCTTTAATTGGTAAGCTTCCCAGGTCAACAAATCAAGAGCAGCCTGAATCAAACATGAATATCCGTCACGTTTGGTCCAATTAAGCATCATTTTAACTTACATATCCTAAATCTACGAACTTATGATTCTCGCAAAAATTCAACAAACAAATCATCCTATATTCAAACTCAGATCCATATCACAATTACCGAAGAGTGGAGATAACTACCTCCAAGATCATACTAAAGGCTCATGATCAACCTTCCAGTATCAGATTGCCTCAATTATCCATCATTAATGTGATAATGTCTAGCATAGATGATTACATGAGTACCTCCTCCAAAATATGAAGAACCTCTAACCGATGAACGAATATCCCATCGCACAAAAATTACCAAATTGTAATGAATCAAACTGAACTCCAAATGCAGGATTATCGACGATCGAAGAAGTCATTATCGCGAATCGTGTTATACGCCACTATAATGCAAAATGCTTGATACATTGGTTTTAACATCTCATTTCTTACTATCACCACTGAGATTTACAATGTTGTTATATTTGTTGTTGATATGTCAGTTATAATGTCTCTTCCCTCTAGCACTTTTTAGCATGGATTCAATAAATGAAGGTCGGAGTACACAAATACGTACCTACTAGTGATTATAGCATTTTCCACCATTAGCAAAAATCCCTATGAGATACCTAGTAGGCAACAAATTCTTGGCGAGGATTTCTGATCCAAGGAAATCAAATCATTAATTCTCCACCAGTAAGAGCTAGATGAGCACAATAACAAATATCCTATGGTCTTCAGCGAGTCCATGTATTATTTTAGCAAAATGGGAAATACCGCTCCCTCTAAACAAGGGAATACATGGAGGAAAAACACGTCAGTCTCCCAATAAAGTTAGAGCAGTATGTATTCGAAGACGCATCCGATCGGTACTCTCATCTAACCTCCTGATTGACTTCTCCGACCTATAAGGACACATCAAGGGGAACAATCACATTGCTAATCTAGCTGCGCAAGATGTGTACAACGAGTGCTTCCAAGAGGTAGCCAGTCACCTACGATTGTCAACGAGCATCGATTAAAGAGGCACCAACCATCCCATATCACCCCAAGAAAAGAGGAAGCGAGGATAATTCTGTCCAATCATTC